ACCACATTCACTATTTTAGGGGTTGGAAGGGGGGGGGGGAGGTGAAACACTTGAAACATATTCATTGTCCCAACCAGGGCCAAACCGTCCGTTGGGTACAGAACGGAGGGAGTACCCTTTTGGGTTCAATCGAAGTATCATACTGGGCCACGGAAGGTCGACGGTAGGTCGAAAGGGGGTTGATCAGCGAAATTCGGGTGGATTTGGCTAATGATTTCAAAGTTACGCCCCGCCCCCCGCCGCTCCTCCTCGTTCGAGGCAGTCGCTTTGAAGGGAAATGCGGTGGGTTCGGCTGTTAGACAGTCGCTTTGAAGGGAAAGTGGGCGGGCTTGGGCTGTGTCGACTGGTCTCAGAATCTAATACCGTCCTATAGAAAAAGTCATACAGCATGATGGTGAGGGTGGTGATCGGCTAGCATCTGATGGCATATTAGTAAATGTTCTGGTCATCACAAAATTGCTTGGCGTGCCTCGTTTATCTAATTTTTCATTCTTTGGCGAAGACGGCAGCGTTTTGGGTAACGCTGACTGCATGCTCGTCCTGCTTAAAGTCTCTGAGGCCTAGGTTAAGCCAGAAAGGACTGCAGAATCGAAGAGGTGGGAGCGGAGCCGGATGTTCTTCGTCTTCTTCACTACTCCCTCGATGTTCTTAAACGCTCCCCATGCCGCTCGTTTCCTCCTGCTCAGCTCTGGAGCTAGGTCGTTCATCATATTGATTTCCCGACCTAGGTACACGTAGCTGGAGCATTCGGTGATGTTCGTTCCGTTGAGCGTGAATGGGGCATCAGGAACCAATCCGATTCCATAGACATAGCCTTTTTTCAGATTCAGCTGCAAATCAATCGCCCCACACGTGCATTCGAAATCGTTCTTTCCCTTTGCCTGCTCGCTGATCGCAGTTTACTTTAATATGGATTGTACTGGATAAGCAACATTGAGTTGGAGGACGATTGAAAAAATACCCCAGAAAATTCACAGATTATTAGAGCTATAAACTACTGCGCCAGAGCCATCAAACTTCTTGGTTTCTATTAGTTACTTCTTTTGATTTTTATAACAAAATTATTTCAATCTGAGCTCACTAGATTAAAACTCGCAAGCTTTCAAACAAGTAAATCCGGCGCTGGTGTACTTGAAGGGTGGGGGGGGGGTTGGGGAGCGTCATTATGCAGAGAGCCCAATCATTATGCGGGGAGCCTAACTCCCCCGTCCTGGTCCCCCCTAGAACTGATAGTCAGCTTAGGAGGGTTAGGCGAAGCAATGTGTAAGCAATCGTAATTTTTCTTCCTCTCGTCGTCCTTCGTCCTCTCCTCCCATGTTTAGTCCCCAGAACGATGTCTCTCCCTTGCACAGCGTGACCGGAAAGAAGTAAATAAACAAATAAAAAATAGGCGATAAGGGTTGGTGGGTAGGTAGTATTCAATCCATACATACATATTATTTCATGATGGCATGGAAATTCGAGATTGATCGGCTTCTATCTGGCTTCAACTGAAGGCAGACAATGGATTATGCCGCAATTTCAGAGGCCATACAAAAAGCTTTGCCACAGCTGGGGCGATCGTCAGTCGGCCGGGCCGATGGAAACGCAAAAACGATCATTTTCGCATGCCCCTCCCTTTCTGTCGGAAACAGTCATTGAATTATTTTGAGGGAACCGCGAAACAAGGGAAACTGAAGAAACAACACAAGATTGGGGTGTTGAGACAGCGTTTATCGCACGCTGGGCTTATAAATGCTTTACCACAGAAAGGGATTGTGGGGGGGGGGGGAAGGTGGAGATCGGAGGGAGGTAGTAAAAATGTCCTTCATTTCTTTCCTTTAGCACCGAATTAGTCAGCCTCTCACCAGCAAAGTGAAGCCACGAGTCGGGATTAGGTGCCAGGAGCAATCTTCCTGTGCTTAGACCCACCTTCGAGAGTGAGGAAGGGGGTTCTCCAAGCACTGGAGTCGCGACACTGTGCCTTGTGAGCTGCCATCCTTCTCAATCACGCATACGTGGCGTCTGCGCCCTCTCGCGTACGACGTGCTCTCTCGCGTTTTCCCTCTCCTCGCAGCGCTGTGTCTCTCCGTCATACCACGGCCGCCTCACAAGGGAAATTTCAGTGTTTTCTATGGTGCTTTTTGCTTTTTCTCCTCACTAATGTTCCTCATTGCACCCTCTTGCCTAAGCTTTTTGACAAAATAACACACCAATTCGACCCTGACCCGTGCCTTTAAGTAAGCTCTCTAATCTATCGAATGACTTCATGATAGCCTTCTCCACTCTCTTCTTTTCCAGGAAAAGGCTTTCAGACGATAATATACTGAAACATAGTGCTGCTGGAATAAGGGATCGGCACGATGGGCCGTCTGGAAACATAGGGCGAAATATCGACTTTGGCTAGGTTTTCTTACTTTCGTCGACTTTTATGTAGGATTCCATGAACAGGATACCAGTGGCACATCTCCAAGAACCTTCCACACACCCATTAGCCCATCTTGGCTGCTCCACCTTCAAGACGACGAGGCGCTGGGATCACATGGATCATAACGCCTTTGACAAAACAGTTGAATGGCAAAGGTTTTGCACAATCAAAGCCGTGACTCCTAGGAGCTTGGCCACCGCTTTAACGGTCAAATAAATCATGTAGCGAGTGAAGTAACGGGAATGGTTTCTTTGAGCTTGTCGGCTCGGCAGTGGCTTCATATTTCAAAGGCGATGAGGAAATGAACAATGCTGTTTGTCTGTTGTTTTTGTCCTTGGTCCATGATCGAGGTACCCCTCAGGGATATTTCCCAGTAAGACTTTCATCCAAATCTTTCCCTAGAAGGCGTGAAAACTTTCTGATGCACACTTTGTCTGCCCCATACATGATGACTCTAACAACTGATTGACTCGCTGAATAGCCGGTCAAAATTATTACAAATATTCGTGCTTCCAGTCCGTTATCAAGCACTAACCCATCTGATGGGATTTAAAACCAGTGGTTACAACAGAGAAGGAGTGCCGCGATGAACATATTGCAGCACTGGAAGCGGCAGCCGGACGGCAGTGGAAGCGAAGTGTGGCGTCGTTTCTACGACGACGAGCTTGGGGTTGGGCTCTAATCGAATTCTGTAGGGCAGCGTTCAGAGTTGGCGATCGTACATGGTTAGGCGATCAGACCATAGGAGAGCAGGCGAGGAGGCGAGAAGACTTTCAGTCGGGTTGGCGATTAGGCAATTGCTCAATGGGCGGAGCAACAAACAATAAATCGGTATATCCTTCCCTTGTCGCCTACTCGCTTACTTGCCTAATCGCATG